CAGTGTGAAGAAGCGAAGAGAAGCATTTTGGTTTGTAGAGGGGAGAGCATTAGGGAGCAGAGGGACCCTCTTGGAGACCTTGTAAATTGCATGGCGTAGAAGCCCCTGTCTGCTGAAAAAGGGCCTGGCTTGGCTTCTGGACTGTGCAGTTGATGCTTCTAACCAGATCTGCTGTGTACCAGGTGCTCCTCTTTGTCTGAGAGCACACAGGGGCCACTTTGTCCTCCTGAGTATCTGAGGTTCATGTCACGGAACCCCCATTTCTCCTGGCCTGTGTCCCTGGGCTCCCACCCCTTCCCCAGTCAGTATTTCTGCTAATCGTCACCTGCCTCTCTCTGCTGGCTTATTCACGAGTCCTGGGTCTTACACTTCCTTGGCCTCAATCCACTATTCTCTTTTACCCTGTAGTCCCATCTAATTGCAACCCACCTTCAAATGTATATCTCAAATACCCCATGCTCCCTTCAGGAATTAATTTCAAACATGACATGACCACAGATTCACCTGGGGGGCGGGGGCGGGCAGGGCCTTCCCGCCATGGCCCAATATGCTGAGCTGATACAAGAGCCGGGTGCGCCTGGAGTCCAAGCAGACCAGGAGGAGGCTGCTGAGGTCATTCAGGCATGAGGCAATTAAGGTTTGGCCCCAAAATGCAAGACAATCTCCCCTGTAAAATCAAGTTTTCAAGCTGGGGACCTGGGTCCACAGAGTCTCGTTTGCCAAACATTTTTCTGAAAGGTGAAGCGAGGCTGAGCCTCTCCCTGCTTTTGACTGCCTGGAGCGATTGCTTTGGTTCACAGTAATTGTTCCGCTTTAGACTGAACAGGTTACGATGTAAGCCCGGGTAATCGAGTTAAGGCCCGTTTGTTAAAACACAGAGAGTCTGGAGCCACAAAATCTAAACCGTGACTCTGGGTTCATGGCTACAGTTGTGTCTACAGAGTCACTCGAGCAAGACTTTTGACTCTCCGAAGAAGGCAATAATGCAATGAATGGCGCTTAAGTGGAAAAATCTTTACATGTAAAAACTGAATAATTATCATTCGTCTTTGGACTGTGTGATAGAATTTGCACTGAATAAATTGTCATATATTGTATAATTACCTCAGTTATGAACCACCCTTCATCGGCCACTAATGTCAAAGGAGAGACGAATTTCCCCTTCTTGTAATAGAACCTGCTTGGAATGGCTTCTTTCTCGTAGACTGTCATGTGTTCCACGGTGCTCAGTTTATTATATACCTGCAAAGAAAATCAAGAATGATTGTTTTGTACTCTCTTTCTTAAAAATATGTGAATACTTATTGGACCTCGGTGGGGGAGAACTTTTTTAAGTATAAGACCAAAGAAAGAAATTACCAAAACATCTGATAGATTTGACTATGTAAAAATGAGAGACTTTTCTATGTCTCAGAAAACAAAGTGGCTTTATCTAGTAAAGCTGAAGATCCACATACTCTCTGACCTGTCAAGTTAACTCCCAGGGATATACTGAAAACCTCCCATGCATGTAGACATGTAGAGGAATATATTAGGTCACTAAATATGAAATGTCCGATTTTGAATCAAAAGTTTAGTTTATTATATCTTGAACAAGAAGCAGTATAATTAATCAAAGTATGCCCCTAAACTACCAACACAGTTTTGCCATCTTAACAGTAGCTGGTTTATGCCAGCGGAAAAGAAGCCCAGAAAGCAAGTGGTGATGGAATTGCAAAAGGCATTTGCCACAGTTTGTTGAGAATTGAATATTTTTCCTTGTAAGAAGTGGTCCAAAGCCTGGCATAAGTGGTAGTCAGTTGGTGCAAGGTCTGGTGAATATGGTGGATGACAGAGAGTTTCCAAGTCCAGATTCTGTAGTTTCAGTACTGTTGTTTGTGCGACATGTGGGCTTGCAAGAGGATTGGCCTGTCTCTATTGACCAATCTCGGCTGCTTAACCGCAAGCATCCTCATCATTTCATCCAGTTGGTTACAGTAGACATCTTCTGTAATAGAATTACCAGGTTTTGTGAAGCTGCAGTGGATAATACCAGCGCTGGACCACCAGACACCATTAGCTTTTTTTGATGAATATTCAGTTTTGGACTGTGTTTCGGCACTTCGTCTTTATCCAACAATTGTGCTGAACACTTGTGATTGTCAAAAAGAATCCATTTTTCATCACACGTAACAATATGGTGTAGAAATTGTTCGTCTTCATGTTGTGACAGCAAAGAAAGGCAAGCTTCAACACAATTTCTCTTCTGATGCTTGTTTAATTCATGCGGAACCCATCTATCCAGCTTCTTTTACCTTTCCCATTTGTTTCAAATGGTCCAATATTGTTGGAACAGTAACATCAAACCTTGCTGCTAATTCCTGCATAGGTTGAGATGGATTTGCTTCCACGACAGCTTTCAGCTCATCATTATCCACCTTGGTCTCAGGTTGCCCACGTGGCTCATTTTCAAGATTAAAATCACCAGAATGGAACTTCTCAAACCATCGATGTACTGTGCGTTCATTAGCCCCAGCCTTCCCAAACACTTTGTTGATATTTCGAGCTGTCTGCGGAACTCATATTTGAAAATAACACAAATTTTTGATTTATCCATGGTTTCACAAAAATTGCTCTAAAAAAAATTTGAAATATAATCACAAGCCAAAACGTGCATTTGAAAGACTGAGGATGTGCCTTCACAATAAACATAAAACAACAAGTGTCAAAGTGAAATGCCAGAGATATCAACTGTCAAACTTAGCACTTAAGGAAATTGGGACATTCCATACTTAATAAGCTAATGCATTGCAAATGGGAACAGACCAAATGCCCAGCAACAGTGGGACGATAAAGAAATCATGGTGTGGTTCTACAGTGGAATACTATACAGCAATAAAGATGAATGAATTATGACTACAAAGACACCTGTTATAATCTCAAGGATCTCAGCTTGAGGAAACAAAAAGCAAGTTGCAGAATAAAATTATTTCCATTATAGTTTGAATAACCAAAAAAACTAAACAACACATGATAAGACTAAAAAGAGAATTACAGAAATGTAACCCAAAATTTAGGACAGTGGTTTCCCCTGAGGGGGCGGAAGAGGTGATGGGGTCTGGGAAGGACACACAGATGTCACAGATAACGGTAATGCGCCACTTTCTCAAGTGTTTGGTGAATTTAAAGTGTTCATTGTAATATTATCCTTTACACCTTACACATTTTATAACAGTTCTTTTCTCACTCAATAACTAATAAACAAATTACAAAAACTTTTGTATGTCAGAAAGTCCATGCTAAAATTAAAGGGAAAGTGAGCAATTGATCTGCCTGATCTTAAATATCACAAAGATCAAATAAAGAGGATTTTTTCTTTTAACTTGACCTAGGGCATATCTGATCTACACATGAGTCTTTAAAGAACTAGTGTTTGCCACTAATTCCATTGCTGATTTGATGATGAAGATGTAAACGTTGTATCTCTAGTATTAGCAGCAGCTTAAATATTTACGGCTAAAATTAAAGTCAACTGGTTGATGTTGACTTGGCCTTTAGCTAAACTGGGCACAGTTACCCGTGGCACCTGGGTATCACGGAATATAAAATTGAGTTTATTAATGCAACTCCAAAAAATAATTTAGTAGAGGGTTCCTGATGGCTCCCTGAGTTATGATTTCCTACTTAAGAAAATCCAGAGTTCTGAAGGAAAATAGGGTGTGTTTGCAGAGAGATTTTGTGTAAGTGAAAAATCTGGTGACAAACAATAGCTCTCACAAACTGTTGTGTCCGTCACATGACAAAGTGTTGCTCAAACACAGCCCCCACTTTTGAATAATCGCCCAACTGCGCTGGGCTGCTGGCAAGGCCTGACTTACACACCACCTCGGAAGAAGCTCTTCCCAGCTCATGCGCTGTTGCCCAAGCATTCTGGAGACCGCACGCTTCTAAGTGCCAAATGGAGACAAAGATGATCTTCCTCGCCAAAAAAACTCCAGAACTTTTCAAGAACCTGCCAACGTGTGAAATATTCTTCCTGGTGTCACATTTAGGGAGTTTATGGGGACACTGCATGAACATATTTTGCTCCTGCACTTTCTGACCATGGAGCCTGAGAAAAAAATGCAAGGTACAAGTCCCCAGGGATGGGGGCAGGCTGGTGGCGGCGGCATTGTGGGCAACTGTGCTCCTCCACCCCAGAATGGACAGACCCTATATGGCAGTGGGCAGAAGCCCCAAAGGCTGTATTGGGAGGTGACTAGGAACTCCCGGGCCAGGCAGTCAGCCAAAGGAGCCATGTGCTCCTCCTCCTTTTCTCGGGGTGCTTCACCCCGTGCTGCCAGATATAATGGTTGTTTTGAGGGAATGGCAAGTAGAGGTTTAGTCATCTCTGGGTGCTGAGTTCCTGGAAGGCAGTGACTGTGGGGAGGGGAGCTTTGCCCCCCGTCTGCACACTGTGGGAGTCCAACCACACCCTCTTGGGAGCATCCCCCTGAGATGGGGTCACCGTAACAACCGACACATATGTGATCTTGCAGTGGGCTCAGAGTGCTACTACGTGCTTCTACGCCTCTACGTGGAGGGCAGCTGTGACTACATCATTGCAAGCACGTACGGAGAGGCAGAGGCCAGCATGGGTAGCTTGTCCGGTTTCTGATTGATGCCAGAGCTGGGATTTGTGGCTCCTGAGACAAAAAGCTGAGGCCACTGCACACATGGCCTCAGCTCCCGTCATTCAGCACCTTGTCCCCAGTCCCCCATGGAACAGACCAGACTGGCAGCTTCCTCCCAAACAGCATGCTACGTATGCACCTGCTCTTCCTCGGGTTTGCCTGAGAAGTGCTGCGTTTGGGCCGCTGATAAAATAGCCCTAGTGAGGGCTTGCTAGCACGCACATATGCTAAGCACTGCACATCCTTTAGCTCCTTTAATTCTCATAGCAGTCAATGGGGTTGACACTATTATGCCCATTTTAGAGAAGAGAAAACAGAGACAGGGAAGCTGAACAACTTGAGAGAGGTCACTCAAGGAGTGAGAGGCAAACTAAGTCACCTGCCAGCATTGGAGGCTTGGACTCAGAGGCAAATGACCTAGTTTGAGTTAAAACTATGGAAAAAGGACAAAGCCCAAAGAGGTGGCAAATGAGGGTGTGTCCTACTCCCCGCCCCCGTCGTGGTGTGTCTTGCCTCCGAGTGTCTCCCGGGGGCTGGCCAGAGGCTCACGACAGGCCCGCGGTCCTTCACTTGCTGCAGGTCACTCAGGCTGATGTACTTGTTCAGCTCAATCACTTTGTCCATCCAGAAGATGTCGGTCATCCCATGATCTGAGAAAATGATGACATTCAGGTTGTCCTGCAGGCCCCGCTCCTGTTGGGGGGGCAAAGCCGTCATTATAGCACAGAGAGAGAGAGAGAGAGAGAGAGAGAGAGAGGCTCGTACACTCAGAAAATCTTGTAAACTGCATATGGTAGGAGAAAGGTTACTTTCTCAATTCTGAATTTACGCATCAGGAAACTATTCTGCCCCGATGAGACACAGTTCGAATCACAGCGGAGGCCCTTTGGGGAGGGGCGTGTGACGGCAAGTCCCATCCCTGTACGTGCTGACGCGCCACACAGCGCTTTTAGCTTTTCAAGGTACACTCCCCGCTTTCATCTTCTGCGGCTTTTCCAACAAAGTTCTGTGCTAATATGAGAACTATCGCCTGCCCATGTTACAGAGGCAAAAAATAAAGCATGGGAAAATAAGACAAAAGCAAAAACAAAAACACGTGTGTTAAGTCACTCTGCAAGTGTGTGGCAGAACCGGAACCAGAACCATGTCCACGCCGAGCTTACCAAACTTATCAGGATTCTAAAGAACTGGGCCATCCCTCCACCTACGCCAGGTAATAGTGCACATCTAGGTCATTGCCATGCCCCTGGCCTGGCTGTGGCACAGGGCTCTCCTGGTCCCTCAAGAGGCATTGTGTGGAGCAGGAGGACTCAGAACCTGCGCCACCGACGGTGAGAAGGAAGGTGCCGGGGCTCGGGGGAGAGACCAACAGGGTCAGGGGACGAGGTCACACCAGGCGCCCTTGCATCAGGTCACCTGGATCCACTTGGTCATGTACTTCAGGACGGTGTCCACGGCCTTGAGGGCGTCCTTCCTCTGCGGAGACGAAGGGCCATAGTGGTGGCCTTCCACGTCGATGCGCTCGTGGTATATGGCTGCCAGGTCAGCGCGGCCACTCCTGGAGGGGGCAGGAGAGAGGGGTATGGTTGAGGGAGTCCCTGCCAGCCTGCAAGTCCCTTGTCGCCCCCAGTCCTCTGTGAAGGCATTTGAATCCCCTGAAAGCCCGCCCATGGGCCACCACATTGGAATGAACAGGGGGAGCTCTCCAAGGGAAAAACAAGCACACTGAACAACAAACTGCCAGGCCTGAGCACCTCGGCGATGAAAGTCACAGAGCGTGTCTATTGTCACCCCCCCTTGGCCATATGGCATTGCTCATCGTGCTCCAAAGAGTGGGAGGATGTGGTATCGGGCAGAGGCTAGTTCTCGTAGCTCCAGCCTCACCACTGCTGCGTCGCCAGGTCAGAACACTAGGAGTGATCACTTAAATAACTACTGCTCAGGTATTGCTGGACTTTAAGGACGTCTCTAAATAAAGTGCTACACTGTGTGTCTACTTGACCGGCAAGAATAAGAACGGCATTACTTCAGCAGCCCTGCGGGAGGTGAACAGATGGGTATTCGGGGCCCGACGTCAGCAGACACCCCAGGTTCAGGGACTGTCATTGGCAGATACCCCAGGACCCTGGTGCTACGGGGACGTGTGAAGGGTCAGCTCCAACGTGAATAGAGAGTGACCACACTTCCGGGAAGGCCCAGTTCTGAAAAAACCCTCCCTCTGAGCCGGAGTACTGATTGGAAAACTCCAAACCATTTCATCGTTGATGCTGGGCTCAGAGTGACTGAGCACTGGTGACATGAATCGGAGGAGGAGGCTGGCAGAGCCAGGAGGGGAGAGAGGGAGCTCTCCTTTCTCCACGGTGCTTCCCACCGTGCGTCCCCTCCCCAGCTCTGGCTGTGCCCATGCCCTCCCCATAAAGCACGTGAAATAGGTCAGAACAATGTGATGATGCTGATGGTGGTGGTGGCGGTGATGATGATGTTAGCAGTGACCAATACAAGGTAAAACAAATTAAAGCTAATTTCTCTGCTTGGACTTTACAAGGGTTAATAGCTAATACTCCTGGCAGATTGCCTTATTTCTCTTGAAAAACTGTATTTGAAACACACACACACATACACACACACACACACACACACGCAATGAACTGGCATGGTTTCCCCTGCCATGGACTCCCAGCACTTGCAACGTGAGGACGGAAAGGATTCATCCTCAGAGCCGGCAGAGCCTTGGGTCTTGCCGTCCACAAGAGTCCAGTGTTCAGAGAGCTGGGTCTGCCCGCTCAGGGTTAAACAGCCCCGCTCACCCTTCAGGTCCCGGGGGAGGTATCGCCTCCTCCAAGAAGCTTCCTCTGAAGCCTGGGGCTAGCCGGAGTGGCCCTCCTGTGTGCTCCTCGGCCCTCTAGGGTCACTTCTGGGCTGTGAATTTTCATACTGTGTACTGCGATTACCCATTTATATGTCCTTTCCCTCTCTAGATTGTGAGATTCTTTCACCCTAGGGGCGATGATTCCTTGTCCATTGTATCTCAGCGCTAGTCTAGCGTTTGGCACACAGCAGGAGCTCTGTAACTGTCGGCTGAGTGTATGATAACAGTTAGTGATTGACAAATGATAGCGCCCATGGGTCCGGCACTACGCTGAGGGCTTTTACATATATTACTTATTTAATCCTCAAAACCACACTGAAAGGTAGGAATGTCTTGAACAGAGAGTTCAAGGCAGTTATCAGCATCATACAGCTAGTGGAGCCAGGATCCAAAACTAGGCACAGCTGACTCCAAGGCCCTGAACACAACGAGTGAATACTCTCAAAGAACTCAGCAGCCCACGCCAACGAGGAAACATCCTGCTTAGCCGAACTGGTCTTTCGGAAATAGTTCTTATTTTCTTACAAGAAGCCTACCAGCCCCTAGAGAGCTGCAAGAGCTTCACCATGACGCCAAGTCACTTCCACTTCCGATGCTCAGCGCTCTGCATCTGTGCTGAATATGCCCCCAAAGTCTGGAACTGCAACTCCAGGAAAGCATTTGCAGATATGGATGAGGAAACAAGCCTAAAAGGGTTCTAGAAGTTACTGAAGGCCTCACAGATTTCTGAGACAGGGCTAGAACTGGAAATGCAAATCTTCCACCTCTGTAGTCAGAACGCTTTTAATTCTACCAAACTGGGTCTTTGAACATCCACAACTACTCCATGCAGTACGTTGGGGAGCAAGTTCCAGATTGTTCTGCCTGGCATCTTCCCTCATTCTGGCCATACTTGCAAGTGGGCACACTCGTTCGCAATGCTGTGATGTTCTGCTGGGTACCCTGAGGTTTGCTTCATTAATGGTTTGGAGGATACATTGGTTTCAAGTTAAGTTAAGCGAAATTGCTAGTCAAATGTTCTTTTCTCTTTTTGGAACAAAACAAACTAGACCCCGGTAATAAGCCCCATTACCACCCTCCTCCACACTGTGGATTGCATTAGGCTATTATGTAGGTCTTTCTCACAAATGATGTTATCATTATTCATACCCACTAATGTGTGAATGACTAATCCAAACTCCCTCTGCATCTATAGACAGCAGAGAACAAAAAGTCACTTTAGGGTCCCACAAGCGTGTAGGTGGTGGGTAAAAGCTCATACTAGATAACAGCATTTTTATACATACGCTGAAACTTTTTTGAGGCCCATGTTCATGACTGATTGAGTTGATAGCACTTCCTCTACTGCTATATTTGAACATAGTGGAAACTTCCATAAAATCTGTCCTTCGGAGAAGCCTCAGCACTTAGTTTTTTAGGTACTTGCATCTTTAGAATTCCAGGTGTGCTGATTCACACCTGGTAACGTATCGTATGTTTCAGGTGTCCACACTTCCAGGCTAGGGCTTCTACGTAAGGAAAATCCTATTTAATACAGTGGTGACTTACTGCGGTGAGGAGTTTTCAGGAATAAAGTTAACTGTTGCACTTTAGTTCAATGAAATACTTTTAGGTCTCTTCCTGTTAGACACCTCACCTTAATGTAGCAATCACTGGGCTGGTTTCTTTGGGGCTATTTACCATTCTCCCAAATCTCCATGTGATCAGAAAGCCAGTAACTGCTGCAATTTACCTGACAGCTCTGCATCAGGAAGCCATCAACCCCAGATGCCAGGAGCACTGGATTTGGGATGCTTGCAATTCAGGGATTATACACGTGCTTTTTGAGAAAGGATTCTACATTGAAGTTTCGTTGAGTCACTGGAGACCTAAGTCTTCAAGGGCTGAGAGCTTGCCTGTCTGGAGTGTAGCTGGCAGACTTAGTTGCCAGCTGTTTTCCACATGGATCTCGTCTCCATCCCAGATTAGCTCATTTGCAGTGGGCTGGCTGGGTGAGGAGAGACGGGTGGCCATGTCTGCACGTCCGCTTTTGGCCAGGGACAGCTCTGAGGTCCAGGAACCAGGACAGAGGACGCGTGGCCATCAGCCTAGTTACCTGAGAGCTGCAAGGGGCGCCCAGCCCTGGGGTTTCAAGGACACTCAAGTCTCCTATCACCTTAAGGTTCTGTCCGAATTTCTTTGCCATAAAAACAAGTTCATAATGTTACATCCATTTTTCTTACTGAAGTGAGCTGGAAAGAGAAAAGGACTAGGGAGAGGGAAATAGAGGCAGTTTAAAGAAATGGTTCATTATTGACTGTTAGGGAAAATCTTTCATAACTTAGAAATAAGGATCCCAAAATGACTGTCTGTTCAGTGCCACGTGAGAGCACTGTCTAATAAGCTTGCCGGAGTCACAGATTTAACTGCTGATTAGATTTCAGACTCTGTAAACCTAGCTGTTAATTTGTAGGAAACCAATGAGACAAAAATTATTTCTGTCTGAGAGAGAAAGCAGTCCCAGGAATTGTGGTTGGATTATCCTCTGTGTTGTTAAGGGTATCTGCATCCGACAATAGCCGCCCCTCATCATCCTCCACATTCTGTGTCTTCGTCTGTGCGTGTGCGTCTCTCACGTCCTCCGTTTAACCAGCCTTGTCATCCTCCCGACTCCCCTCTGTGAGAAACTGAGCTGAGCTTTCGTGTAATCCTCATACAGAGATGCAGTGGACACACAACAAAGTTTTGATTTTGAAAATTCTCATTTGACAGGGGCACTGGAACGAGACAAATCTAGGATGAAACCCTGGCTTCTCTTCTCACTAACCTGGAGGTCTCAGATGAACAGTGAAAGTATCTCCAAGCCTCAGTTTCCCCATCTGAAAAATCTACTCAAAGGGCTTTGCTGGGTATTAAGGGAGCCGATGTTTGCAAAGCGCTTGGCACACAGTGAAAGGGAGGGAAGGGGGAGAAACGCCTCTCATGTCTCCTTTCCTTCCAGACGTCCCTCAATCCCTCTGCTGAGTATGTGTGCGGAGCAGGGAGCAGGATCCAGGCTCTGCTGAGCCTGAGCCTGATTCCAGCCCCATCTTCCCTGTAGTCCCCAGGGAGGAGGGACCAAGGCCAGGACAAAAGAGCCTGCTTCACTGGGGTGTGTGGAAAGAGCTGTGCCATCGTCCATCCACGCCCTCAGTAGTGCCAGCAGCCTCTGAGGCCCTGGGGTCCTGAAGAGTAACCTTTGGAGTCTTCAATAGCCTGGGGCTTGGCAAAGGACATTGGCTGCGCCCCCCGCTCCTGCGGCACAGCTGCTCCCTGAGAGCTGCAAGGGGCACCCAGCCCTGGGGTTTCAGGGACACTCAAGTCTCCTATCACCTTAAGGTTCTGTCCGAATTTCTTTGCCATAAAAACAAGTTGTGAGGCCCTGTTGTGAGGCCACATGGTCGTCTGCACTGGGCCCCTCCAGCCAGCCGGGCCTCGCTGTGGCTGCCTCCCCTTTCCCCCACCCAGATCGTGTGCCACTCGAGGCTCGTTTGGGCTTCAACACCAGACACCTCTGCCTGCCCGTGGAACCATGAATATCCCACAAACAGAACTTGCAGGAGGATGGATTCAGTGATGCTGACCATAAACTGTTTTTTTTTTTGACAGGGGAGGGACAGTGTGTGCAGGGTGCGGGGCTGCATTCCTCCGTAGCCCTTCAGAGCCCTAGGTCCCGGGGTGGCCCAAGGAGGGGAATTGCAAAGAGGTGGTTCTCAAACTCCTGTCCCAAGCTGGTTCTGCTCCAGGGCATCTCAGAGGTGTGGGTGCGGACCTGGGTGCAGGGCTGAGGGGCTGACCCTGGAGTGGTTCTCAGTCCCTGCACACTCAGGGGGGCCCCAGGAGACTGGGCCCAGAGGCCCTGTGGAAGGAGCTGGGCTCTGGCTCCATCACCGGTTAGCCTGAGACAGCCCAGGCAAGGTGTATAACCTTCAGGGAGGCGGCGGCCTCTTCTGTGAGCTGGGGAGAGCGACAGCTACGTAATGTGGTGGGTGTGAGAGCAAAATGGGTCACTGGACATAAGGCCCTTTGACACAATGCTAAAAGACAGGTGTCAACCACGTCAGTTCTCTGTGCTAGAAGTTGTCTCTCCTTTGCTCTGTGCTAGAAGTTGTCTAAGTCCAAAGGGAGCAACTCACAGGTACGAATGGGCCAATAAAGCCTATGAGCACAGAAAGCCGTGCCCGGATCAAACATGGACGATGGGTTGTCCGCCTGCAGACAGGTGGCCCTGCACACACGGGACCCTCTGCTGAAATGTCCCTGGTAGACTCCTTGTTCAAGATCTGAGCAGACCCTCCTGCTTTCTGCTGAAGCCCATCCTAGGTCCCATTCTCTGCTGCTCAGACTAATAGCACAGTGGGCAAAGAAAGACACGCGACGGCAGTGCTGACTCAGAGACGCTCGTGTACGAAAACTATGAGTGCTCTTCCAATCACGGCTGGGCATTGGAGACAGAGCTGGACAGAAAACAAGAGGTCAGTTGAGGAGTTCTAGACACACTCCTTCTTTCAGGGCTCCCTGACGGGAAGATAAATAATTATACTCTTGGTCTAGACAGACATGCCAAAAGAATTAATGATTCCTTCGAGCCACATTATTGCGTGGACAGGCCGCTACACGCAGAGTGGTCTTGATTGGTCTAGACTGTTCTAGACTGGACACTTCTCTTACTTTGCTCCTAAAGAGGACTAAGTTTAGATTCTTTTAAAGAAAAATGTTGACCTACAACTTTCAGTCCTTTATTCTACCTTGTAAGAAGGGAATGCAGGGGTTGGAGGAAAGAGGTGCTCCTTTGTCTTTGGGGGAGGATCTAAGTCATCTCACTGCCTCCCCCAGACTATTACTGTTCTTCCTTTCTTCTCTCTCTCTCCTTTCAAGCACTGACTAATTTTAGAGATGGAGGGTCTCCATCTTCCCACCTACTATGCAAAGGGACTGTCTCTGGTGTCCTGTCAACTTTGGTAGCATGAAGATGCCATAAGACAGTTGTGCTGGCCTGGTTCCATCCTCCCAGGGCATCATTCATGTCGTAGACTACGTGACTGCCATCCCTGAAGCTCAAGGCCATTTCCACAGACTACAATATGCATGGTGCTGCGCTGGGCAGTGTGGCAGCCCAGGACACATCATATAGAGGCCTGGCCTGGGGCCACTTCCCTGGGCTTCCGGTTTTTTGTAGCCTTTTCTTTCTAGTGGAACCCAGTGCCTTTGGTAAGGACACTCTCTCACACACACACACACACACACACACACACACACACACACACACAAACACCATCACTACCACTACCAAAACCCTCCCCATTCCTAAATGTTCTCCAAGGTAAAGATGTAATTCCCAGTATACTGTTGCCGTGTCATGTTTGAAAAGGGAAAAAGAAGAGCTTCTTTAGAGGAACTAGAGCCCAGTACTTATTCCTCTGCATTCTGGTGTCCCTCAGCACAGGGAAGTCTGCTTAGACTGGCAGCCTGTGGGGTTCTCACGGCTGCACGCTCTACGCTCTTCTACCTGTGGTCACTGGGTGGCAGAGAGCGGGAGTCCATTCGGCTGTTGAGGTGAGATAACGTGAAAAGGATGACACTGCCGAACAGACTGTTGGGTAATTTGGAGGTATTTGTGTGACATCTATAATCCAAATTTTCACATTTGGCGAGGCAGTGGGCTGTGGGGACGGCTAGCGTTTTGGATATGTTGGAAGCAGCATTGGTTAGACGTAGAGCTGTCCCAGAGTTCCAGCTCGGCTCACTGCTGCACGTGCTATGCTATTCTGCTTGGCTTGCACAAAGCTAGACTGCGGCACAATATTCCAGCTTGTCACATGTGTGGTTTTCCAGCACTTGTGGGCAAGAAAAAGAAAGGAAAGTAGGTAGGAGGGAGGATCACATAACACAGGATTTGCAAACCATCTGAAGAATATTTATTTAAAGGTTACTCCCCCAGGCTCTGCTCCTTCCTTCTTCCCCCAGAAAAAAAAATTATACTTTTAGATTTGTTACTTCTCAATTTTTAAGTATTTTAAACCCATTTTCTCTTCAACCTGTCCATCAGAACATGAACCTTGATGTGCCCAAAGGACCCTTTTGATAGGTTTCATTGGAAGTGGGATCGTTCTAAGAAGTGGTGAAGGAAGGGTGGTGTTTTCTCCTTTTACAGATTTGTGGGGGCGATTGCGGCTCACCAAGGCAAGGCTGGCGTGGCAAGAATAAATGCGTATCGGGTCAGCTCTGTATCTGGAGCAGTCTTAGTTGCAGGCCTGTTCATGTGGGTAGTGCTAGTGATCTGCACACTGTGCTTAGGGTGCGTTGGCTCTCGGGGTGTGCCCAAGCTTGAAACCAGGCTCCTTCTCGGGGAGGATGAAGGTCCTACCCTGGTCTCTACTCTTTGATTCCTGTGGGTCTCTTTCCTGGCCACTCCCAGGAAGCCCACTCTGCAGCCAAGGTGACCTCAAGTCCACCCTGGAAAACTGAGAGCCCCCAACACCCTAAGCCTCTTGGTTGCTGGTTTCTGATGCAGACCCCCACCCATCTCCCATCTTAACTTCCACTTCCAGCGATTTCTGAGACTGACTTGAGGCTTTGTCCTGACCTGTCTTGTTGATCAGTTTCCCTGACAGACTCATGTGTGCTGATCAGGATAACATTACTGATTTCTACATTTTTCAAACTGTATGTCATGATTCCACGTGGGAGGGAAGAAATAGATCTATGTTCTAATATGCTAATAATGTACTTTGTACATTTCCGAGAAGGGTTAGGGTAGGCAATTTTCCCAAAGTTATCTGACCACAGATCCTCCCTTTCTGCCAAATACTTCTTAATATCTTCTGAGATACAATTGTTCACTAAATCATTGTTAGGGAAGTGCTGACATTTACATTGCTTCTCCGTTGTCCAATAACATATTAATAAAAAAGGAGGTCCCAAACCCCTGGGACTTTCTTGCTCTCAATTAAACATTTCCGGGGATCGCCCCTGCAAAAGTGAAGTCACTTGCTCACAATTTTCTCCTACTATCAGTTGACCATAACCATGCAAGAGGCTCACCAACTCTCTGAGACATTATTTCACCAACACCAAGCCTTCTCAATTCACTTTGGGATCCGTGTTTGTCCTGGAAGCAAGGAAGAACAATGGTATGGCTGAGAATTCAGGACACTTACTTGAATGAGTCAAGAGCATCGCTGACTGCATTGGCAAAATTGATATCCGTTGGGACATTTTTATATTCTAGGCAGTAAGTAGGTCTGACACCAAGAATCTCAACCTCACAGCCTGAGAAGGAAAAAGATGGCAAATAGTTACTCTCTTCAGCAACCAAGGTAGGGTTATGAGCCTGTTTCAGGAAGCAAACACCATCAGTCAGAATAAGGTTTATTATATTTTCACAAACTAAAATAACTTATTGCTGATAGGTGGTGTATTCAACTGGAGCAGAGGTTCTCAAATGTCACTCCTATGCAACACTGGTGTCTCATGGCAGAGACTGGCAAGGGTTAGATAGTGGCTATCTTTCTCAATTTGAAACAAAACAAAAATTACTTAATGTGCACAAATACCTCAATTAGAACTTTTTTCCTATGGATTTTTCATGATGACTAAGTCTTCTAGTGTAATTTGCTTATTCTAGAATCAGATATTAGGTAATATCTGATTAGTCAAGGAATTATAAAATAAATATTTCACTCTCCTGTGGTACTACACAAAGACTTAGAGGTAGGTTAGCAAGTTGACAATCACTGACCTAAAGCAAGGATTCTGAGCCATGACCTTGTCTGTCCTAAAATGAAGTAAAAGAATCAAAGGTGTTCAGATGTGAATAAGCTCAGCTTCTCTGCCCCAGACTCTTGGACAAGTAGCATAGTGGCCCTGAGGAAGAGACTCCCAACCATATTAGGAGAACATAGAGCAGGAGAGGCATGGGCCGGTCTCAGTTTACAGTAGTTGAGTAAATATTTATGGAGCACCTGCTATGAACTCGTCACTATGTTCAGACATAGTGGAAAACAAGAACAATCAGTCAGGGTCTCCATCCTGGAGCATCCCAGAGTCTAGTCTAGCGGGAGGGGACATGCAGGAAAGCCATGTGATGCATGAATGATGCACACTTCAATGCGGAGCGTTTACTTCAGGTATCATTTACTCCTCAAAGCTTTCCTCGAGTCCCCACATTGGGCTCAGTCTTACAGACTTACGGACTTGGCCAAGGCAATGGGGGATGAGGTGGGGCTGGGAGGACGTCCCAGGCGCAGAGAGCAGCATGACTAAAAGTTCAGAGAACTGAGAACACTGTGTGTGTGTGGAGAGCTGTAGCACGATAAGATGCAGGCAACAGTGCTAGGAGACCAGATTGGCTCTTTCTGGTAGCCCAGGGAAAATGATTCCCGTGGTGGAAGCGAGTGAAGTGGGACAAGCAGGGAGTGTGGGAGGTAGGAGTCCCTCTGTCAGAAAGCACATCAATCCCACCCCAGGCACATGGGCCGGCTGGTTACAGCTGAGTTAAAAGACAGCAGGGCAGCCTCCGGGAAGAATCCCTTCATCCAGCATATCATGGCAAGACCTGAGTGCGCCATGGGAGACACCATCCACTCTGCCCGATATCATATCTTGGGAGCAGGGGCTGTCTAGAACAACTGAGAGAGAACATTTCATAGAAGGCAGAGAGGGATGCTCCCTTTTCCAAGACATGTTTGTTGAGTAGGACGAATAAGCTAGGTGACCCAGAAATAAACCCTGCTCATAGCTTCTGGGCAAATACTCATTGTCATAAGAAATGCCAGTGGAATCTTGACTGGTTATATCACTTTAGATATCTGTGTTTTATTTGTTGAAGGTTATTTTTGAACCCCATGTTCAGTGCCAGAAACCGAAAAGCAAATAAGACATTGCCTACTCCTTTAAAATTTAACAGCCTTGCACAATGTGTCCAGGTGTCTGCTTCTGGCATCTCTGACACATGTGTATGTGAGCTTGCAACTAATGCAGTTTTGACTATGTTTTGCAAATAAAAGAAACAGTATGCTTTTTTATTTTGGTGTTTGCACATGAACATCAGCCATAAGTGTTTTTTGTATAATCAACAATAAGGATGTTTGTTAATATTATCAAACATATGTTCTTTTAATACTTTTGATTAAAATCAATCTGGACTTAACACTGGCATAGTAATACAGTTTGCCTGAGAAATTTACACTTGCCTCAGGTTAAAGTAGGGGAAAAACTACTTTTTATGTATTAATGACACGTAAAGTTCTATAGTATGGCTAGAAGCAATATGTGACAAAGTAAAGCTATTGTTACACAGTTAGGGAATTCTTTATTTTTAAAAATCATAATCCTTTTTAATTTAATCAAAGGGCATGTCAGCATCCTACCAAAGGCTAAGTGTAGGATAGAAAAATTGAGAGAAATTCTCCCCAAGCACACAAAATTTCACTGAGTACAAGGTAACAGCTTATCAAAGACTAGGGGTAGAACATCAGGTTGGAGAGAGATCTTCCAATTTGCAGAAAGTTGTGGATAATGCTGGAGAGAAAAAGAACTCCTCAACGACCCCCAAAATTGGTAGCATAAATTCTCTGTGTAAAACAGAGAGTTCTCCACTGAGCAAATTCCTGCTAAAGTGATAAGCCTTGTCTTTCCTCATATTTGATGCTAATTGCAAAATAAATCTAACTGAATCTTCAAAAAAGCCCAGACCCAACTCAGCTACAGATTAGGTTGATTTTGATGTCACCCTAGAGGCCTGACGTAGGAAGGAATATGGACTTTTCTGGGGAAAATATAATTTGCTACACAAGCTATTGTTCTTTTTCGTACAATGTTCTACATACTAAAAAGCAGTAAAACATGTGCCCCATAATTAAGACAAAAAATAATCTACAGAATTAGATCCACAGATGATATAAAAGTTGGCCAGAAAGGGTAAATGTGAAGAAATTTCTTTAAAAAATTATTGACTATTTAAAGCAAAATTAGTAACAATACATTATGGAGTTTACAACATGTGTATAAGTAAAATATATGGCAATAAGACTATAAAGAGTATATATGTGGACAAATTGGCATTATAAAATTCATAAATTAACATCATTTGTGAAGCAATATGATATTTCAAGGTAGAACATGAATAAGTCATGGATGTGTGTTGAAATGTCTAGAATTACTATTAGAAAAAAACATAATAAAATTCAAAATCAATAGAAAAGATATAACAGAATTCTAAAAGTACTCAATTAGTGGAAAAGACAGGAAAGGAGAAACACAAGAACAAAAACACTTAAGAGAAGTAAAAAAATTGTCAACATAGGAGGCTTAAACCCCCAAATATCAATAATTACATCAAATGTAAATCAACTAAACACTTTATTTAAAAGGCAGAGGTGGTCAGACTGGGTAAAAAAACAAGTCTCAAATATATGTTGTCTACAAAAGAAAATTTAAAAAAATGTAAATACATTGCTTAAAAAGAAAAGGGTGAGAAAAAAGCTATACCATGCAACACTAAGTACAAGCAAGTTGATATAGCTATATATCAGACAAAGTAGATCTCTATAAAATACCAAATGATTAATAATGAGCAACTGAAACTCTTATAAGTTGGTGGTGGGACAGTAAAATGATATGGCAACTTTGTAATTCTTCAATGTAAAGTCAAATATATATCTACCCTATGAAACAGTAATTCCACCCATGGGTATTTACACAACAGGAATGACTACAAAAAGCCTCGTACAAGACTGTTTATAGTAATCTATTCGTAATAGCTCCAAACTGGAAATAACCCAAATATTCATAAATGTGAGGATGGAAAAACAAATTTTGGTATATTTATGCCATGAAATACTGCTGAACAGAATAAAAAAGAATAAATTACTGACACATGCCATACAGGGGTGTACCTCAAAAACATTATTTTGAACAAAGAAGACAGACACAAAAGAGTATTGATACTATATTAATAGTATGATTTCATTTATATGAAGCCTGAGATTGGACAAACCTAACCAATGACAACACAAATCGTGATGAGGAATAATTGCCTGGAAGGAGGAAGGATGATGGAAAAATTTTCTATCTTGACCTGAGTGGTAGTTACACAGATGCATGCAATTTTGAAAATGCGTGAAACTATACTCATGGATCTGTCCATGTTATTGCATGTAAATTATGTCTCAAAAATTAAAACAATAATAATTTAATCCACTACCTATAACATTCATACTATTTTATTAAGATGTGAATAAACAAAAATAGTAGTGTGCAAAGTTAACAATAACAATCTGTTATTGACTGGCTGCTATGTGCCAATACATACTTAAGCAGACAAGCACTATACTCGGTACACTCCTTACAAATCCTGTAAGGTAGCTCATGTGACCTCTATTTTACTACAAGGAACTGAGTCAGAGAGGTGAAAAGATTTCCCCATTGTCACAGGGCCAGCGCCAGGAAGACCTAAGATTTAAATCTAGTTTTTTCTGACTCTAAAACTTTAGGTATTATTTTAAAATGGGATCTGGCAACTTCAGACATGCAAGGGCAGAAATTATGCTTTATATACTATTAATATTTACTCAAGCTTACTGAGAAATAAGTCAAAATAAAGAACTCAAGACTGAACACCAGTGGGGTTTTAATATAAACAGCATTAAGCAATGAAACGGCAAAACGTAGTTAAGCCTAAGCAATAAATAATATGGTAGTTATGTGAAAACATTTTATTGAAAAATGAGGTGCATATCGAGCATTTTTAATGTAATAATTTGGATCTAAAGTTCAAAATTTTTTCAATAAAAGTTGGGAGCGTGTGCCAGGGAAGGGAGGGAAGGGATTTTCATTGTTGATGAAGGGAGGGATGGTCAATAGATAATGTTTCATTCTAGATATTGATTTAAAAGATTTGAATATACAGAACAACAGTTGTATGCATAACTTTCAAATCATTAAAGGAAGAAAAAACAAGCATAAAAAATTAGTCAAATATCAAACTACATAAAAGTGAAAAAAAGAAAACATCCAGGAAGCATAACAAGAAAACCAAATCTACTCATTTTGAAATGATTATGAATGCATTACACTCTATTTTTAAAGAATGTCAAGGTGACACAAGAAACAAAATCCAACTGTAAACTATTTACAAAATTCACACTCGAAATAAAAGGACACAGAAAGAATAGACACAAAAGAATGGACCAAAAGAATTCCCCAAAGGTAAACCAAAAATTGGGTATGTCAATAGTATTAAAATAGATGATGATATCAAAAGCCTGAAA